CATTGGCCACCTCAGACCCGCACTCGTCCCATTGGCCACCTCAGACCCGCACTCGTCCCATTGGCCACCTCAGACCCGCACTCGTCCCATTGGCCTGTCACGATGCGCCTGGCAGCCAATGTACTTTTGTGTTTTTTGTCTTCCAGCATCCAGCAGTCGCTCACTGTTCTTGTGCCTCGGGTCTGGCCATTCCTCCGCCACACAATATCCTCCGTTCGCAAGGCAGCACTAGAGACTCTCTTCACCCTCTTATCCAAAGCTGACCAGGTGGGCTTGGCTGTGGCTAACATGAAGGTTTTGGTTGCAGAATTGCCCAGCCATGTTTTGTATATGCACATACTCCTTAAGCTATATGGCAGTAACAGTGGGTTTTTTCAGAGGGAAAATGTGCTGCCAGCTGATTGGGTCGCACTCTTGTAACATTCCCAGAAGTTCTATTCTGTTAGCCTGAGTTTTTTGCGGATATGTGTGGGTTTGCTTTTCAGAGCTGTGCCGAATGGCTCACCCCCATCCTTCAGGACGTGCTGAGGCACATTTTCCAGTCATGTATCCTGGAGAGCAACCAAGAGATTTTGGAACTTATCCAGAAGGTTAGCATCTTGTGTACCTGCAGCTCATAATCACGCCGACTGTCTTCCTAAGAGAAAATGTGGGTGTTCTCTTCCTTCAGCTTAATTTTTGTGTTCTTGGGGAAAGCTGAGGGAGCGGGTACTCTGGCTTGGTGTCCTTAAATACCTCGGCATGTTTTTATGTTTTACTTTGTTCTTCTCCAGTTTTATAGTCTGAATTTGTCTGATTTCTCCTTAAAAATGTTCCTTTTACATGTACTGTGTAAGGCGGTAGGTCTCTCTCTATTTTTTTTCTCTCCCAAAGATTGTCTAAAATAGACAGTTACTTAATGAGTTGTCGTAACATAGCTCTAGGTATAACAAACAAATTGATGTTCCCGCAGTTATAATCTGTCTAATAAATATATATCCTTGATAAAAATGTCTTTGCCTTTAGGACATAGAATGCAGTTCTGCACGTGTGAGTTTAGAGGTTAGGAATGCACAAGATCCTCTAACTGTATCAGGATTCATTTCCAAGAGTTGGAAGGTTTGCGTGTTCTTGTCTGATTGTCCTGCGCGTCTGGATTCCCTCCTAGGTTTGGACTGAGCTGATCAGCCAGGCCCCGCAGCAGTATGTGGTAGCGGCCAGCTGCCCGTGGATGGGGGCCTGGCTCTGTCTTATGATGCAGCCCTCTCATATTCCCATAGACCACAACATGCTGCTGGAGGTGAAGGCACGCTCCAAGGTACAGTGCATACACTGCGAATGCTCCCATTTGTAATATTAAACAGGCTTTCAATGAGAGCTGCGCGATCAAACTATAATCGGGCTGAGCACCAGTAACAGTCCAGTATTTTTCCACACCACACTTATAGCAACTCACTGCGCTAAAAGATTTAGCTTTAATAAAATCTTGCTTTCACACCTGCTCACCAGTGATTCTAGGGAGACGTTTCTATTTGAAGACATCACTTGTGCGCCTGCTGTTGTCGAAACAGGAAAAGTCATGTGGGAAGGCCCGGCAGGGCCCCAATCAGGTGAAGGAGACCATCCAGGAGTACATCGCTGGTGCAGAAACCGTGACGGAAGACCCTGCCACGCGGGACTACGTGGTGATGCGAGCCCGTCTCATGGCTGCCAAGTCAGTGCCTTTGCATTTTGCCGTATTTAGTGTGACCGGACGTCAGCAGATTCTGTGGGCAACAGTGCATGCTGTTAAAGAGAAGCTCAGTTCTGCAAGCTCTAGAAATGTTTAAAGCTTTTATATATATTTTGCTTACCAATGTATATGGTTTAAATATACAGAGTTCACTTCACAGTGCCTCCCATTGTTTATATGCCTTATAACATTAATGGATTGGTCCAAACTAATTAATAAACTCAAATCATTAGTTTATGAATGATGTCATTCTCTGTGCTTCGGTTACAGGAATTTGGTCGATCTAAATTGAGATGCGTGACATCTGTTAGCATATCCGTATCAGCCGACATTTGTTAAAAATGAAGACCTCTGCAGGAATGGCACAGGGGTGCAGTGGTTAGCACTGTTGCCTCACACCCCTGGGACCAGGGTTCGAGTCTCTGCCATGGCCCCATGTGTGTGGGTTGTATGTTCTCCCCGTGTCTCCCCATGTTGTCGTGGGGTTTCCCCCCCCAGTACTCCAGTTTCCCCCCATATAGTCCAAAAATGTGCTGAGATTTATAGAAGTTACCAAATTGTCCATACATGTGCATGTGTGAGTGACTGGTGTGTGTTGGGTTGGCCCCCCGTCCTGGGTTGTTGCCTGCCTTGCGCCTGTAGCCTCCAGGTTAAACTCCGGACCCTCTGTGACCCTGAATAGGACAAACGGTTACAGAAAATGGATGGATGGATAAACTGTAGCTCTGGTGCTGCTAACTGTGAATCTTTCTATCTTTGGTTTTCCAGAGTAAAAAAACTTCGATCTACCACCATTCTGCTAATCTGCACTGCCAAGTTATTGGTATTGTGATATTAAACAAAAATATAACTCATGGGAGTTTTACTTACACAAAAATGTTCTGAGGGCAGAGCAAAATTGATTGGCTCAGAGAAAGAGTACCAGTCAGATCTTGGTCAGATGTCAGAGCAATCAATCAGATGTCTTGGTCCCACTTTGTCTAATGCTTGGACCAGCCGCCTCTACAATCTGATAGGTTGAGAGAGATAACCAGTCATTTTTCATTTTGCCTCCAGAACATCATTATGTAAGTGAAACTCTCATGAGCAAAAATATATTGGGTATTGTTCAAAATTTCAACATTGGTGCGCCGCTAGAACTAATGAGAATCTCGCGATCTTACAGCATGACAAGATTTCTCGTCAGAGTGAAAAGCGGTCTCGCGAAGGTGCTGCAAATTAGCTGCTGGAATCATGTTCTCCTCTGATGAAATTACCATAGCAGATGCCTCAGACAGCATTTTGGGTACCTGGCGGAAAATATAAACGGCGAAAGGGTAACAGACAAAACACAAACCATCTGTGAGCAATGTAGGAAAATAATGCCGTACACAGCGGCTAACGCTACTACTATGCAAAGGCATTTCCAGCACCATCATAGCTCTTTACTCAAATCCACTGCACCGGTGAAGAAAACATTAAAAAAAAAAAAAAAAAGTTTTATGTTATTTATATTTAATTTATATTCTATTTTATGTTCAGTTGAGAAGTCAAATAGAAGAGAAGCCTGTCATTTGAGTTTGTGGTGAAATGTTTTATGGCGCTAGACATTTGTTCTGTTCTTTACTGCATATGATGGTGATTATTTAACGCATTTCACCATATCTGCATTATTTAGCATTTTTGTCTTTCAAATTAATCAAATAAAAGGCTTCTTTCCAGTAATATATTTCCTCTTTGACGGTTTCCTTAAAATATTGTTAAAATATCATCTCCTCGTTCTCGTGGGCCGAGTATATCATTACACCCCTACTGGTTATACAGTGTATATATATAGTCTTCTGTGTAAATGCTTGACTGTGCTCCTGTCCGCAGGTTACTGGGGGTGCTGTGTCACTGCATCTGTGACCCCCGGCTCAATGCCACCACCCAGGAAATCCGGCCCGCCGAGTCACTGGCCCAGCTACTGCTCTTCCACCTGAACTCCAAGTCAGCCCTGCAGCGCGTCGCTGTGGCCCTGGTGCTGTGCGAATGGGCAGCTCTGCCCCAGGTGAGCCGGACAGGACTCTCATTCTGTGAAGTGCCGATTTGCCCAGTGGTGCTTAGAGTTACTGCTGAGATGCTCTAAGCCTTCAAGCCGCAGCTTTATATTCATTGTGGGAATTTCTTTCGCCGCATTAAAAGTACTTTCATGGTGATGACCATGTAACATTTTGATCACTAGGAGTGTTTTCTGGCATGTTATTTTGCTGACCGTATGAATATCAGCCCTCCCTGGATCATTTAAAATCCATATTAGTTAATCATTTTGGATGCTGGCGTTTTTTTTTTAAATGCCATTGTCAGCTTTAAGTGACGCGTGTGTCTTCCCTCTAACCTGGCGTAGGAGTGCAGAGTCGTGTCCGGCGCTGTGCAGCCGCGCTTACTGGCCATCCTGTCGGAGCACCTTTACTACGACGAGATTGCCATCCCCTTCACCCGCATGCAGAATGAGTGTAAGCAGCTTATCGCCCTGCTGGCCGACGCCCAGATCGACGTCAGCGAACGAGTCAACTGCTCCGTGTTCACCATCGATCAGGCCAACGAGCTGGTAAGCCATTCCTGCTTATTCCAATTTTAGGGCTGAAGCTGGCTGCTCGACCAATCAGTTGTTTGGATTTCAAGAGAACCTTTTGGAATTCTTTATTACATGTTTTTCAGAGGGAGTTGGGAATAATTCTATCCTTACTGGCTAAATGGGTGTTTTTCCTAACACCTTAAACTGGTCGAGCAACATGCTTGGTTATCACTGCTCGATAAGGGGGGCCGTAGGTGTCATCTCTTGTGACAACCTTCGTGGCCCATGGTACAGTGCAGACAAACTGGTTATCAACTGGTGACTAGCCTGAATGTCAGGAGCTTAGAGAGTAAGTCCTGTGAAGACTTAAGAAAGGATGTGTGGGTGTTTTCCTGGGACCTGTACTTTGAAGCGGGGTTACTGGCTTATATGTCGCATTTAAGGTATTCTGGGCAAAATGTAAGTGAATATGAAGTCCATTTAAACTGTGGTACCTTAAATCCCACAAGGTAAGCCAGTAACCCCGCTTCGTAGTACAGGCCACTGGACTGCAGACACGGCTGCTTTTGACAATTACTGTTTTCTGGATGTTAAAGCAGCTGTACCTGAACTAGTTTGGGTACCTGGTAGGTATTTTCTAAGCAGACTGATTCAAGAGATTTTGGTGTAAATAAAGTGAAGCATGTTCCCCAGATAGATATTTTGATACTAACACTCGAGGAGCAGGATATTCAAAATGGTAAATACAGTCACACATACACTCACACATACACTCACACATACACTCACACATACACTCACACGTCTTTTCTTGGACATATACTTATTGTGGCTATACATTTGGGAGATGCTACAGGCATTAACACTGACTTAACCTAACACAGATCTAAAATGATGGCTTTCTCTTCTCCGATCTGCTTTTTAGGTGACCACCATCTTCTCCGAGTGCACGGCCGGCATAAACGTGAAGTCCCGGTGCTGGCATCCGCTGGACAGCAAGCGGCAGCAGGCTCTGTCCACGGTGGGCGAGACCAGTCAGGAGTGGCAGCTGCTGCACCTGCGCGTGCACATGTTCGCCGCCTGCGCCACCGTCAACCTGCAGGTGCTGCCCGACAAGCTGAACCCGGTGATCCGGCCGCTGATGGAGGCGGTGAAGCGGGAGGAGAACACGCTGGTGCAGGGCTACGCGGCGGCCTTCATCGCCAGGCTGCTGCGGCAGTGTGCCATCCGCTCGCCCTGCCCCAATGGCAAGATCATAAAGAACCTCTGCAGCTCTGTGTGTGCAGACCCCCTGCTCACGCCATCTGCAGCCTGCCCTGTCCCACCTACCCAGGAGCCCGTGAAAGGTACACAGTGCCCCCTGCTGGTCCCCTTAAGGCATCTCGGCTATAACTCCCAAGTGCTTTGACGTTGCACAATAAACCATAAGAACATAAGAAATTTACAAACGAGAGGAGGCCATTCGGCCCATCAAGCTCGTTTGGGGAGAACTTAGCTAATAGCTAACAGTTGTTAAAATCTCATCTAGCTCTGATTTAAAGGAACCCATGGTTTTAGCTTCCACTACAATAGCAGGAAGACTATTCCATACTCTGACTACACGCTGTGTAAAGAAGTGCTT